ACGAGGATGACCGTGTTTCAGGAAGTAGTGTGATGAAACATTACGCAAGCAGTCAAAAAATGAGATGAAACTGAAGTGAGCAGGAAATGCTTTGATTTATTTTGGATTCATGAGAACAGTTGCAGACAGCTATGGATAAAGCTGAAACTGATTAATTAGTATAACTTTATCACATATTTTCCTCAATAATGCTGTCCTAAAATCAAATTGACAAATAGTGATTTGTAAGATTCAAATGTTAAATTTGAAACTTGCTGCATTTGTTTGGAATAACTTCCTGTATTTGTTCATATTGCAGAAAGATATTTATATGGCGCTGTCACAGCCCTCGCACACATTACTGTTTCCTCTCGTCAAACATACTCCTCTGCAGGGTGAGCTGAGTCGATAATACAGAAGCAGAGGTTTGAGCTTTGCAGATGGACGACGTGAGACACTCAACTCTTTGCTAATTTGAGGCCAAAGCCGGCTCATTTTCTGTCAGCTGACTTACAGCTGGCTGTTTACAATCAGTTTCATGGTGGACATGCAGGTCTGGTGATTTAAGGATGCCCTCTGTCATCATCATGAGGAAGATTTATTTATTGAAAGGTCAGAGGTCAAGCTAACTGTTCTAGTAACTTTTTGTTTTGTTTTAGGATGCCTGAAAGAAAAGTCTGAAGGTCCCCTAAACTGCTGATTGAAGTTTGACTTTATGTTTGAGAATGAAACTGAAGTTTAACCTTGAAAACATTCAGACAAATTATTGTTGCTCGAGTTTGGATATATGAATGACTCCCAAAAAACTCACGCCTCTATCGTACTGTTTAAATTAGATCCTGTGTAGTCTTTGAACAACAGCAACATTTCCCGAATAGTTCTAAATCGATTTGACTGAAAAAGCTTCTTTTGATATTAATAATTATAACTCTGTATAATTATTTATCAATTAAACTAACTTAACTGTATTAAATCTTGTATCTTAATATATAGTAATGCACTCAAGAGCAGCCTTTGAGGTAGGTCAGGCTGATGGTTTCGCAAGACTTCATTTCCCACAATTCCAAGCGAGGAGCGCTGCGGTGGTGCCTTCTACTGCTACTTCGCTTTTCCCATCTCCCGAGTTGATGAGTCTTCTGATTTGTATGAACGTCAAATCATAACTTTGACAAACATGGATGCTCAAACGGTATATATGTTTATCTCTCAATTCTCATCACGATATCGGTGGTGAGTAACACATTTTTACGATGTACTTCCAGGTTATATACATTTTAAATTATGCGAAAATGACTACAATATGTGAGTTGAAATAAATGTTTTAACCAATAAGCGAACGTTAGCTGTAAGCTGCCATGTTTCCAAGTAATATCTTATCAACTTGGGTCATCGAGTTACAAAAATTCTCCGACTTTCCGCGATGTTTCTCCAACAGCGCGAGTTTTTCCAATGCAACGCTCATTTTTCCCATTATTCCGACAGCACATGAATGCAGCCCGAGAAACGCTTCGATCGTCGGGTCGTCTCGTTCAATAAACCCGGAAGTGTCGATAGAACCGACTCACGCTGCTGTTTGTACCTCAGGACAGCAACTTTGGTGAGCTCAAGCTGTGAATGAAAACCACTGTTGACATTAGAGATGAAGTACAGTGGAAATATAGCTGTCGTTGGCATTAGCATTAGCATGGCCCCCTTGTCATCTTAACTGTGTAGCGCATATTAAACTCATAGTTTTTAACATCAAGCTAATTTGATCACGTATGCTCATTTCTAAGTGAACAATGTCATTATAAACATAGTCGACAATCCAATTTGGCGTCAGGAAATTTGCTAAAGAAGTACTAAATGCTGCATCACGTCCTATTTACCTCTGAGTTTCACTGGATATGAAAAAGGTTTCTCTGACTTTGCTTCATTCAGGAGCCTGAAGTCGTTCATTGATTCGTTTAGTGAACAGGGACACTCTGGAGCAATGAGCATTGCTTTAAACGTAAAATACAAAGTGGATGTCAGGCATTCAGGTTTTATAGCTGTGGCTAATTTACAACCCCTGTCCCTGGCTTTAGGATTAAAACAGAAGCATTAGACGGAAATAAATACAGTGATACTACAAATACAGACATTACAATGCAACACAAATAAGAAACTAAAGAAAGAACAAACAGTAAAGTAAGGATTTAAAATGGAAACACCAACACAGTCAGTGCTCAAAGATTACTTCATTTTCAGTCATTATTTTACTCGTGTCTGAAAAACCTTGAACTCTGTCATTTCTTTTAATTTCAGATGGTGGTGTGTTCCTCAGGTGTGTTCCTCAGGTGTGTTCCTCAGGTGTGTTCCTTTATTCTATCCCTCAGAATAACAAAGAAAACAAAATACAGATCTGTATTTTGAGAGAGGAGGAGCAGGGTGAATTTAGGGATGTTTTCATTTCTGTGTATTTTGCAAATGTCCTCCCTTAAAGACAGTCCTCCTTATGTAATATTTTTCTGTTTCATCTGAGCGTTGTTGTGTGTGTGTGTGTGTGTGTGTGTGTATTTGTGTGTCAGTACTCCTCCCTGTTGACCGCTGGCATTGTGCTTAGGAGACCGGATGTGTAGACGCCGGGACTTAACTTAATGCTGGCACATCAAATCGTTCACAATCCCTTTAGTGAGAGCTTACAGAGGACACGTCAAGGTCACACTGAGGCGGGCTTTAAGCCCTTTTTGGTGGTTTTTATTCATTATGTATCTTAAAGTGGAATATGCTCACAAAACCAGATTATGGACTAAAGAAAAACGTGGTTGCAGTTGTTTAACTATAAAATCCTGCTCACTACCTGTTATTATTTTTAAAAGATGAAACTTTTGCAAATGTCATGTCTTCAGCGAGTCCTTCCTCATCTTAACAGGAACCTGAATACATTAAAGAAAACAGAAAATTGAAACTCATCAACTTCTCCGTTAATTATTAGATTTATAGAAGTAAAGCTGTTACCTAGTGTTGTAGTCAAGACCGCACTAACCGAGACCAAGACATTGAGAGATCAAGACCGACTAAGACCATAAATATCAATGAAAAATCATCAACGGATTTCAATGTTATAATGTTGCTCACTGTCAGTTCTGCTTCTTTGCAGATCTCACGTTGAGATAGGAGGGTGATTGTCGTCCATGGAGCGAGTGATGGGAGGAGGAGGAGTGCTTCAGCTGGTTTTAGCCGGTGCGGGGGTCTGGCTGCTTTACAGGATCCTGCTGCGCCTCAGACCAGGAGCTGCTCTGCAGGATGCCGTGGTGGTCATCACCGGCGCCAGCTCGGGACTGGGGAAAGGTCGGCCTGCTGCTCGTTTCTTTCTTCTCTTCAAATCAGGCTCCTACATTTCTGACCTCCTTTCTGTTGCAGAGTGCGCGCGGGTCTTCCACGCTGCAGGAGCCCGACTGGTTCTGTGTGGACGAGACGCAGCTCGTCTGCAGCAGGTGGTCGAGGAGCTCACTGCGGGCTCGGCAGGTTCACAGGTGTGTACGCTCACTGCCGAGGGTCTGAGACATTTTGTTCTCTGGGTCACCTAAAAGTGACTCGAGGTCGTTTAATGCCGGAGGTTGGCCTGCTTTTAAAATTTTACTGTAATTATTATTATTATTATTATAATTGTTCTATTTGTTTAACTCTTTTAATTTTTATACTTTTATTTATTTTTAATTTAAATTAATTTAATTTAAATTATTTTTATTTGAACATATTTTCAGATTTAATAATTCCAGTGATTTTTAAATGTTCTATTTTACTGTTTCTTTTCTTTCCTCTGTCATGATGCGTTTGATGTCTTGTGTGAAGCACTTTGAATTGCCTTGTTGTTGAAATGTGCGACATAAATAAACTTGCCGTGCAGTCATAGAAGTATTAAAACAGTTTGATTGTAGATGAAATCAGATGGTTTTGAACGTCAGTGAGGTATAAAAGAAGTTCTGCTCCGTTCAAATCCTCAGACTCACACTCCCCGCACCGTGACCTTCGACCTGGCTGACGCTGACTCGGTGGACGGCGCTGCAGAGGAGATCCTGAAATGTTACGGACATGTGGATGTTCTCATTAATAATGCTGGAATCAGTTACCGTGGCAACATACTGGATACTCACACTTCAGTTCATCGGGATGTGATGGAGACTAACTACTTCGGGCCGGTCGCTCTGACTCAAGGTTAGCGAGGAGGAGGACACTAATGATCTGAGGAGAACTTCTTTAATAATGATCTCTAATGATTTCATGCACAGGTGACAAAATGTTTCAAATATGAACTCTCCTCTTCCCTCACAGCTCTCCTGCCCTCGATGGTTCGCCGGCGAAGTGGCCACATCGTGGTCATCAGCAGTGTCCAGGGAAAGATTTCCATCCCTTACAGATCAGCCTGTATGTTTCCTGTTCTCCTTCAATGAAAGCAAACTTTTTTGTTATCCTTTTGTTTGATGAAGATGACGCAGTTTGTTCTCTTTGTGGTCAGATGCGGCCTCTAAACACGCCACCCAGGCGTACTTCGACTGCTTACGGGCAGAAATGGAGCGCTACGGGATCCCGGTGAGCGTCATCAGTCCGGGTTACATCAGAACCAACCTGTCAGTCAACGCCGTCACAGGAGATGGATCCAAATACGGAGGTGAGGCAGGAGATTTGTTGACAACAATCAGCTCAAACCAACAAATCACTGACAGAACTCACTGTGCAGTTTGTAGAATATCAACAATCAAAGATGGAGGCCGGGTCAGTTTGTGAAAAATGTTCAGATTGGTCATTAAGGGAAAATGTGCTGCAGTTTTCAGTCTCAGCTGACCCTCTGACTTCCTGCTGTTATTAATGATGCTCGTTTTCCTGTTTGTTGTTTTCAGTTCTGGATAAAACCACAGCGTCGGTCGCGACCCCGGAGACGTGGCTCAGGCCGTTCTGAAGGCCGTCCGTCAGAGGAGCAAAGACGTCGTCCTGGCTGGACCTCTGCCTCATGTGGCCATCTACCTTCGCACGCTTTGGCCTGCGCTGTTCTTCAAACTCATGTCCTCACGCGCTCGCAAGGAGCACAAACCCAAAGACGAGTGAAGCAGCAGCTCAGGAACGAGAGGAAAACAGAGAGGACAGAAAGTGAAGCTTTACACAGAGGTCACATGGAAGAGAGGGGTGAATAGATCTGCAGAGAAGGGTCGTCTAAATCTAATATTTTGGCTCTTTTTGGTAGTTTCCCCGCTGGCTGCCTTTTGCTTAAAGGTCGCATATTATCCAAAATCACTTTACTATGTTTCTCTAACATGTGTCTCTAGTCCGTCTATAAACCCCCCAATGATGAGAAAAGTCCATCCTCTCTGTGTGCTCAAACAGGGCGTTTGGAGATTTTCCCTTGATGACATCACAAAGGGCAGTAGCCCCTCCCCCAGGTGGGTGACACTCCCACAGCTAGGTGTTTGTTCTGCCCTCTGAGTCTGCTTTCTCACCGTAAACAATAGGACATGGAGCGAGAAAGCACCGAGTACACCCAAGTCCTTCCAGAGAGGGGGCGTGGTCAGACACAGCTCATTTAAAGGTACAGACACAGAAACAGCCTGTTCTGACAGGGCTGAAATAGAGGGGTTTATAGGCATGATCAAATACAGGATCAGAGTGGATTTAGAACAAGAAACTTCACACACGTTTTGAGGAGCTCTGAGACTTATTTACACTGAAGAGGAGGAGAATATATGACCTTTAATTTCTGTTTGTTGGTGATTCCATCCTGATAATAATCCTCTGCTGACACCCTTAACTGTTTCACCTCCAGGCTCGACACACTCGATGTTAAAGTTTGTATTGAAACTGGTTTCTCACAACAAACACAACAAACTGCAGATTTTTTATAACCTTCTTTATACACAGAATAAAAACAACTCTTACAAACTGAAAACTTTCGACAGAGCTTCTCCTTTTTAGACGTCATCTTAATTTAGAGTTAAACAAACACTTTCTGAAATGTTAGCAATAAATAGTCCAAATAACAATTTACATTATGTTACAAAAAGCGCAGAGAATACTGGAATTTGTACAAATAAATCCTTCAACAGAAAATAAAGACAATACCTGCTGTTTACTCTCGGTAAGAAACATCTTCGTTGTTTGTTTTCTAGTGTGAGAAGATGAAATGTTTCAGATTTTCAAGGTGCTTCGAGCAGAGGGACGTTTGAAATCTTTTTTTTTTAGTGGAGAGACGAGCGGAGCTCTTGAAACCGTTTACACTCGGAGAGGAAGGCAGACGCATCGAACGTTCACAATACTGCATGAATACACAAGCCCTAAACTGCATCCGAGCTTTGAAACACATTCATGTTGCTATGGTAACGAGGAAATGATCTTGACTCATTTCTCTCCTTCAGTTTCTCGTCATCTCGGGACAACAATGCTGGTGTGACCTTTAGAATAACAAGTTTATATCTCTAGTAGTGTTAGAGTCGAGACCACACTGACTGAGACCAAGACACACCAAGACCAAGAGTGCTCCAAGACCAAGACCATAAATATAAATATTTTGTTTAGGGGCGTGTCACTCACTCAGACTGTAATACAGAGAAGGTTGCGGCTGTAACCGGGGGATAAAAATGAAACTACAAACGAATTAAAGTTATTTGTTCTTTAATAAAGAAGCGTTTTCCTTCTAATCTCAGTCTCGGTCTTGATTTAATATCTGAAGTCTGCCCAGTCCTAGACCGGGACAAGACCGAGTCAAAATGCTTTCGATTCAGAGACAAGACTGAGACCTTTAAAAAGTGGTATCGAGACAAAAACCGATGTTGACAGGACAGTGGATAAGAGTCAGAAACCGGGGAGAAGGAGAGTGGGGAACGACATGCAGGAACGGAGCCACAAGGCAGACCAGAACCCTGGGCCGCCGGCTCTCGAGGACCAGCCTCCGCACATGAGGCGCGTGCACCGACTGCCAGGACACCGACCGCTGATAATGAGATACATAAGTCGAGGTCATGAGAGAACATTGTGATTTCCTCATTATCACAGATAAATGCATTTAAATAACAGGATTGATGTCAGTTTGGGGCTTCTGCACATAAAGAGAACACGTTTAACATGTGGAAACCTCGAGGAGCTTCAAGAGAAATAACTTTAAATTCTTCTTTTACTGAAGACAGAAGCCAACCACCTTCACATCAGCTGGAGTTTTCTTTGAACTGACCAGGAATCTTCTGAAGGTTTTTCCTTCTGATAAACAGAATCATTATAAAGCTAAAAAACAGAGTGGAGCGCCGAGCGCGGCTTTAGTGTTTGAGCTCATTCTCAGGGAGTTTAAACGCCGTGTAGCACGACCGGGAATCTTCAGAGGCAACCAGGACCGTTTAAAGATCAGTTGCATAAGAAAAATGAAAACATGGTCCTCACATTGTGGGATCAAAGTGTGAAAGATGTCAAAGTGAATAATCGTCCTCTAAGAGTTTAAAATCCAAGAGGCTTAATGAATGACTGTGTTGTACTTTGATCACAGATTTAAAGTTGTGTAGCTGCAGATGATCGCGTCCGTAGATCCAACATAAAGCTGCCGTATCGCGAGTCATCCTAACAAACGACAAACTTGATTCCAGGCGTTTTTCTTCTCAAATGAAGCTGATAAAAACCTGAACTGACTGAGCGCACGCATTGAAATGAAAGGCAGTGTCATTTATATTCCACCTGGCCGGCCGCGCTATATCCGACTTTCTGCGTCTCACCACGTTACGTCTCTGAGGATCAGCCTCCAGCTGGGATCTGAACTGCACATTTTGGCGGATTTACACATTTTGCGGGTAGATTTGATGAAGTAGCACACACACACACAGACACACAGACACACACACACACACACACACACACACACACACACACACACACACACACACACACACACACACACACACACACACACACACACACACACACACACACACACACACACACACACACACACACACACACACACACACACACACACACACACACACACACACACACACACACACACACACACACACACACACACACACACACACACACACACACACACACACACACACACACACACACACACACAGAGAGCAGGACATACGAGATCAGTGAAAACATTTTGTTCAGATATGGCATAGTATTTCCTTAACATGAGGTTGTGTTTTGTAAACGCAGTTATTTTTCTAAAGTGTTTTGAAGTCTTTTAAAGGGCGTCTCACCTTGGAGAAACAGTTCACAGAAACAAACTTGTTTCAAACTCTCCTTGAACGATTATCAAGGTTCAACATTATTATTGCACTTTAACAAACGGGGCAGGGATGGCTTTAGGGGGGCTTTGAGTTCCTCCACAGTCCTCCTCTCTCTGGGGGAAGGAGGCACAGCGTGGGGCAGACCTCTCCTCGGGTCAATCAGCCGGGTCGTCTCCTCCTCAGGGCGGGGGGAGGGAGGGCTCCGTCACAGCCAGCTCCTGAGCCAGGTCGTTGAAGCGGGCGATGTAGTCGACGCTGCTCTCACTCATCATACAGGCAAGCTGAGAGTCCATCTGCAAGAGCGAACAACGAGCTTTCAGCGCACAGTTAAGTGCTACATTTGGGGAATATGGTTATCTGATTTCTGATGTGGCGATAGAGAAGAAAACCTCTCATCTCGTTCCATCAAAGAAAAGCCAAAGGGAAAATACTAGAAACAGAAAGTGATCAACCAACGACTTAGAAAACAACAACTTTACATTTCAGTTTAACAGATTAATTTAGATTCTTAATTGGTGAGCCAGTATCTGTCATCTTATGACAAAGCAATGCTTTTCCTCCTGTGTTGCATCTTAAAGTAGCAGTATGTAACTCTGACACCTAGTGTTTAAAATGGGTACTGCAGTCCAAATTCTAAACATTAGAGAGCTGTCTACCCCCGCCGCATCTCCAATATTGTTTGAGCACATTTCTGCTCGTAGAGCTTATTAGAAACATGCAGAGGCTTTTTAGGTCGGGTACAATCACTTCTATCTGAACCACTTCTCTTGCCCACTTCCATCACTGCAACACCTGTTGACCTGATAACTGCTCTCATATCTGGCAAACCGAGGGGCGTCCAAAACGGCCGTGTGGGGGGTGCCTTAAAACCTCCTACCTTCACTGGTCCAAACAAATCCAGAGCATTCAGGACCAGAATCTAAAGTTAGAAGGAGGACATACTGGCTGCTGCATTGTTGTCAGAGAAGCCAGCACTTCAACATAGCATGTTTCCTTAATGTCTGATCATATAGTAAGATCACTTTATCATTTCACTCACTACACAGCTCACTGATTGATCCTTAATACAAAGCTGAGCTCACAGGCCATTGGCTGTAGTTTCATATACAAACATGAGAGACATATTGATCTTGTCATAGAACTTTAAATCAGAAATAAAGAGCAAATACTTATAATTCACAAAACTATTCCTGCAGTGTGCAACAAAGAATAGGAAATTCATCCACCATACGCCTCAATCATTTAGAGAAGACTCAACTTACTTCTGCCACATCAGGAAGGCCACGGGACTGAAAGGAATCATGGGAGTTGCAGTCCAGAAGGCTAGGACCGAGCAGAGCCGTGCCACTGGAGGGGCCAGAGGGGGTGAGGGTGGTCCGCCTGCTCTTATCAGGGGAGACCATGCTGGCTGGAAGGAAAAGAGACAGAGAGACGGTGAGAGGACAAAAGAACATGTGAAAACAAGTAGGACACTGCAGGAGGAGGTGTGCAGCTGTGTCATCTTAGAGTGATTTGGATAAAGATGTAAAGGCACAGAGAGTAGGGGTTTTACAGATGTACAGAGATGAAGTAAATAACTCATGAATGTTTATTTAGGGGAAAAAGACCCACAGAGGAGGCAGCCCAGCGTGGAGTCGGAGGAGTCGCTGGGGTACCACTGGGGGTCGTGGCTTGGCGAGGGGATCCAGCCTCTGGACGGGCTGACCGAGGGAGACGAGGACAGAAGTTTGGAGCCGTCGTTGTTGCTCAGCTTGGCCGGAGAGAGCGCAGCCTCCTCACCTGCACCCGAACATGCAGACAGCCATTAGTTAACATTTATCCTGCACAAGTCGTCTCACAAGTTTTTTCTAAGAATGCTTCACATTTTTAAAAGCGTCCTTCGAGCAGCACAGCCGCTCATCAATCAATCAATTTTTATTTGTATAGCGTCAACTCATAACTCATAAGTGTTATCGCGAGACACTTTACAAAAAGCAGGTAAAATACTTTACTCTTTGTCTGTTAACATTACAAAAAGCAGGTAAAAGACCTTACTTATTGCTATATTACAAAGATCCGGCCTATCCATCATGAGCACTTTAGCAAAGCAGCAAAAGTTACAGTGGTAAGAAAAAAAGAGAAATGAGAGAAAGAAACCATCGCCTTTATAAACACACAGCGCTCAGTGTAAATGTCTTTACAGAATTCTTCAAGTTTCCAGATAGAAAGTGAGAGAGAAA